TGCCATATCTGGATTTGACTTGTATTTATGTAGAGGGCAGTCCAACTAGAAATAAGAACTTCATGACCATGTGTATGTGTATATGTGTCTGTCTATATACTGTATTTTTTATTTTTATTATTAAATTTATATGCCACCCATCTCCCCCACAGAGAGAGATACTTTCATACTAACTTACTTTTAAGGTGTTCCTGCCTGCCATATATTTTCAAAGGTAGCAAAAGCACATGTTGTTTACTGTACATTGAGGTTAGTTTAGGAGCCATTGCCTCAAGTAAAGGGAAGTTCTGCTTGGTTCTATATTAGTCAGACCTCATGCAGAGTATTGTGCCTACTCTTGATTACTGTACTTTGAGGACAGATAAATTGGCGATGGTCTAGAGAAGATCATAAGAATCAAGGGCATGGAAAGTAAGCTTTCTAAAGAAAGTTTGAAAAAGGATTTGAGTAATTGTAGATTTCTGCTCAAATTAGGAGGAAAAAGCAAACAAAGAGGATTCCAACTTAAGTAGTTAGAAGGGTGAGTGGTATGGATTGTACTAATTCTGAGATTTGGAAGACAGTTAATGTGGATCTAAATAGAACTTCTCCAGTCTAATTTGGGTCCAAACTGGTGGGAAAATGTGGAGATCTTCATCGCTGTCTTCACCTATAGCCTCTTGGGAAATGGCTATAGTTTTTTTTTTTTAAAACCATTTAAAAGAATAGAATGAAACCTGTAGGCATAATCTTTTTTTGAGGTGATTAGATCAACCAAAATTCAGATAAATAGACACACAGGGCTTGATGCTAGGTTTCTGGATTTTTTTTAAAGAAGAAAGTTCTATAATATTTTGCTTTCACAAAACTGTATATTTTGTAGGCATAATTGTCTGTTCTGTGGACTGTGTGGGTGCGTGCAAGAGGAGTCTTTACAGTGTGGGAGTGCTTAAAAAAAGAATAATTATTCCTTGACATTGTTGAGAGGGCAATTAAAGAAAAAAAAGACATTGTCAAGGTGCCTCTCAGTAAAAGAAAAACAACCCCCCCCCCTCCCCACCATAGAGCATAATTGCAGAAGTTTTTGTGCAGGCATTGAAGAGCTGGGTTTGGCTTGG